ATAATAATAATTCTGGATTTATATAGCGCCTCACGTTGACACAGCCTTGAGGCGCTTAACAACAACAGAGAAGAATAAAAAATTAATTAAGTTCAAATGATTGGTTTGATGATTATCAATAAATGTTATTATTACAATGCTTTGGTAATTGGAATCATTTCAAGGACTGTCACTTTTCTATTCATCCCAAAGCCTTTTATTTTTCTTTCCCTTCTGCTTCTTGTCTTTCTTCCTTTCCCTTCAAATGTTCATGATCTTTACTTTTCTTGTCCTTTCTTATGTTTCCTCATCTTATCTTTCACATTCCTTTCTCAGATTCCTTATCTTTCCTTTCATTTTCTTTCTTATAATTAGTATCCGTCTTTCAAATTTCATTCTTATATTTCTTATCATTTCTTTTCTTTTCCTTTCTAATGTTTCCATGTCTATCTTTCCTTTCTTTTCTCTTCTCATGTTTCCATATCTTTCCATTTCCTTATTCATCCTTAGTTTATCTTTCCTTTCCTTTTACTTTCTTATATTTCTTATCTTTCTTTCCATTTACCTTCTTATGATTCCAAATTCATTGCTTTCCTTTTCTTTCTTATGTTCCTTATCATTCTTACTGTTATCTTTCCTTATCTTTCTTTCCTTTTCCTTTCTTATGATTCCATATCGTTTCTTTCCTTTTCCTTTCTTATGTTTAACTTACCTTTCATTCAAACAAAACAAAACAAGAAAGAACAATGAATTAGCAGAAGGAATTTAGAGGCAACTTTCAAAACTTTCAGTGAAGAGATGTGTTTTTAGCAGTGATTTGAATGTGAGAACGGAATCAGAATTTTTAATGTGTTCTGGGAGGGCATTCCGCAAAGTGGCTGCGATGGAAGAAAAGGCTCGGGAGCCATATGTAGTGGTTTTAGTTTTCTTGACTTTAAGAAGATTTAGTGTGGATGAACGGAGAGAGCGTGTAGGGATGTACTGATCAAGAAGTTCGGTCACATACTCTGGAGCAAGATTGTTCTGAGATTTGTAAGTTAAGAGAAGAACTTTATATATGATCCGCTTTTCGATGGGGAGCCAGTGAAGCTGATGTAGAACTGGGGTTATATGGTCACGGCGCTTTTTCAAAGTAACTAGACGGGCGGCAGAATTTTGAATGAGCTGCAATTTGCAGATTTCAGACTTTGGTAGTCCAATAAGGAGGCTATTACAATAATCCAGCCTTGAAGGTATAAAGGCGTGAACTAGACGGAGGGTGGTCGGATTGTCCAAAAATTTCCTAATCTTTCCAATTTTGCGGATTGCAACATGGGAAGACCGACACACAGTGTTGATGTTGGATTTCATTTGCAGAGTTGAATCAAAAGTAACACCAAGATTACGAACTTCAGATTTTGGTTCAACTAAGAAATCATACGGCTGTAAAGACATCGGTACAGGTGCACGGTAGCAGGAGCTAAGATGGATTAATTCTGTTTTTTGGACATTTAAGCGAAACTTGTTTTTAGATGACCAGCTCTTGATGTCACCCACACAAGCATTAAGCTTAGTAATTGAATGAGAGAGCTCGCTAGGATTAAAATCGATATACACTTGCATGTCATCAGCATACATCATGTAGCCCAAACCATGAGATGACACAATATCTTCGAGAGGGGTAGTGTATAGAATGAACAGTAGCGGTCCAATGGCTGACCCCTGTGGAACCCCACAGGCAAGGCGATGGCAGGAAGATGAAACACCACCAACAAACATGGATTGGGTCCGGCAAAAAAGATATGAGGAAATCCACTGAATGGCTTTGCCTGTAATGCCAAAGTAGGTGGATAATCGATGAAGCAGAATAGAGTGGTCGACGGTATCAAAAGCTGAGGAATAATCCACAAGGACAAGCAAGGCATCATGTCTTTGGTCAACTGCCAGCAGCAGATCATTTTGGACACAGAGAAGTGCAGTCTCGGTGCTGTGAAACCGACGATAGGCAGACTGCATTTTACCAAAAAGCTGATTTTCCTGTAAAAAGACTGAAGTTGTGTGCAAACAATCCTCTCAAGTATTTTTGATAAGAAGGGAATGTTAGAAATTGGCCTGTAGTTGGACAAAATGTCAGGATTTAGGTTAGGTTTTTTGAGGATAAGAGTAACATGAGCATGTTTGATATCAAAAGGAAAAACACCGGATGTGAGAGACTCATTGACTATGTGCGTAATTGAAGGTAAGAGCTTGTTACAGTGACCTTTTAGAAGAAAGGTGGGGATAGGGTCAAGCTCACATGATTTACTTCGTGAAGACTTAATGATATGGTAAACATCTTCAGAGGTTACTGAGTCCCACTCACTAAGGTTAGAAACAGGTTGCTCAGTAGGAAAAACCAGTGAAGAGAAATTAATTTCCTGTTCCAGCTGTTTTTGGATATCAGTAATTTTATCATGAAAAAATTCAGCAAAACGTTCAACACGGTCACTCAAGTTACCACACAGAGACAAAATAGGTATAGAGCGTGATGAAGCGCCAGTGAGATCATTTATGAGTTTAAACAGATTTCGTTGGTCGCAAGATTTGATAAGATTTGTATGATAATCTTTCTTGCTTTTGTCAAGGAGAGAGCTATAATCTTTGCAAGCATCATGAAACAGGACTTTATCTATGGTGAGTTTGGTTTTAAGAAACTTCCTCTCCATTTGTCGTTTGTGGCGTTTCTTGGCCCTAAGGTCGTCGTTATACCATGGGGCATGGGGACGGAGTATGATCTTATGATCAGTGACTGGCACATTTTGGTCCAAGATGTCCCTCAATACGGCATTATATTGCTGTACAAGAGATTCTAAGCCATCACAAGGTTGATTTAGCAAAGACTGTATGTCATCTGCAAACCTCTTGCTGTCAATGCCCTTGATGTTTCGCCTGTAGAGATGTGCGACAACAGAAGGAGGGCGATGGAGGTTGATGTTGGAAGTAATAACAGAATGATCGGAGGGAAGATCAGAATGTATTTTGGTTGATTTTACGAGACAACTTGACCTACGAGAAATGAGGAGGTCAAGAGTGTGACCTTTCTTGTGAGTAGGTACGGTTATGTGCTGTTGAAGGTCAGCTGCATTAGGAAGCTCAATAAAAGCAGTGGAGTCCCGGTCATCCGTCTTATCAACATGAAAATTAAAATCACCTGCAATCAAGACTTCAGAGTTGCAAAGTGAAATTGATTCCAGCAGAGATGAAAATTCCTGAGAGAAAAGGGGAACAGACAATTTGTTTTTTCGAGATGGAGGGGGGCCGGTAAATAAGTGTTAACCTCAGACTGGAGGATACAGCAGGACTTGAAACAGTCAGATCAAGGTATTCAAATGACCTATAAGAAACAATATCATGTTGGTGGACTTTGTAGTTTGATTTCAAGAAGACGGAAACACCACCGCCACGAACAGGCCGATATGCATTAAACAACTGAAAGTGTGGAAGAGACTTTTTGATATCCGCCAAAACAAAACAATCGCACTCATCACCAGTAAACCCGGTCTCTGTTATGGCCATGATGTCAACCCTTTTTTCAATAGCAAAGTCACAAAGGTCATGTGTTTTTTATCTTAACGAGCGTGAATTCCAGAGGGCAAAGTGAGATGGAACACTGGCTAACTTTAATTTTGCACACGTAATCTCAGTGAGATTATGCATTACAATTCCACGGGTAGGGTTTAGTTGTGGACAATGCCCTTGACGAATAAGTTTAGGTATGGTTTTATATACACGGCGACCGGCACGACAGCCCCTGGAACGAGATCTAAAAATCCCAAGCTCCTTTAACCTACAAACAAGTGAATGATCAATGGCTGTAAGCCTAGGCACTTTCAAAGCAACCATTAGATTCCTAGAATATATAAAACTAGAAGTGCCAGTAAGGTAGGCTGAGACGGATCTGTAGCCTAGGCCCAGAGTCCTAGGAGCCCATTGAAAGCCTTGTTAAAGTTGAACTGTCATGCTAAACAATGAATATGCAGGCAAGTAAGGGCCTAGAAAACAACTAATGAAAAACTGACAAAATTTGCTTAAAAACAGAAAACAAAGTCAACTTATCTGCAAAATAGGTAACAATCACCAGAAACACGGATCAGAAAGGCTGAAAATCTGCAAGATGAAGCAATAAAGAAGTAAAATACAAGAGTACAATCTACTCATATGCAGCATGTACACAGCGCATTTAGGGTATAATCAGCCTATATACGCAAATTGTCTTCTATAAAATTTTTATGATACATGAGAAAATATGTGAGATGTAAAAAGTGGTTGCTCATGCGTGGACTCGGGTTACTGTATAAAGTAGGTTACTATTTACCTGCTACCAGGTGGACAGTCATTCTGAATTAAAGCTGAATGTTAACTATAACACATTTAATTTGATTCCTTGCGTTCATCTCCTTAACTACTCAAAACACAAGATTGACTGCCATGCTGTTGACAATTAATTGAATTTCTGTGCTGCTTTTTGACAAGTACACATTAAATAGCTAAGCCTCTCTATCGTCACTTACTATATTTAACACTTGATTCTCATTAATCTACTGTATGATGTAATATTCTTTGTAGAATGAGTTGTGCTTCTTAATTACACCAAACAACTATATTAAATTAACGTGATGCTGGTAAACATTATTATTTAGTTAACAGAATACAATGCTTGTTTTACCTGCTACTGACTAAAATAAAAAATAGAGCAAACTGTGATCATGGTATTAAAATTTTAAATTAAAAATGGAAATTTGATGACTTTTTAAAAATATGTATTTAAGTTCTCTCTTACCATCCAGATTTCATTTTCCTTCATCAAAATCAAATTGGTTCTTTTGGTTATATATTTAAGTTTATGTTTTTGTATATATATATTTTTTGTTTAACTGTTAATATATGTTTCTTGATATTCATTTCTATATTTGTTTACAGTATGTGATCCACTAACAGTGTTGTCACTTTTAAGGCAGAATATGCAAGTGAATAAATAAAATTATATTCTGTTCATTATGTAGGTGTACCCCTTACGGCCTGCCAAATGAAATGAATATGGAAGATAGTGATTGCTCTTCGGATGACGGCAGTTTCCAGCAAGAAGACAAACTTCTTTGTTTTCTAATGCTCTTGAAAGCCACGTGAGTACTGTATGTCCTCTAACCACCTGCGGCAAATGCACTTAAATTCTAACATGATTACACGATCACACAATTAATGTAAACCTACACGTGTGCTTGTTGTTTCTAATGTAAATACTTGGCTGTCAGTACAACAGCTTCATGGATTATCAAAGGTGGCCAACTCATATAAAATATTTCTATCTTTTATCATTTTTTACCATCGTAAATTAAACATTTAAGAAATATTTGTCCTCTAACCAACTGTAAAAAAATAGGTGCCCCAACCTGGATTCGAACCCAGACTTCCTTATGCAAACGCCTTTAGCAACTAGGCCATTGAGGCTTTTGTTGGGAATTCAAATCCGATTAAAGCATCTAATTCTTCACACTATGGTCTAGTTGGTTAAGGTGTCTGCATAGACAGCAGAAGGTTCAGGGTTCGAATCCTGGTTGGGGCACCTATTTTTCGCAGTGATTCAATTGAAGGTGTACGTTTATTCTCCCATGAAATATCAGTAACACACTAAATTATTTTAGTTTATAGTGGCATGTATTTGTGCGATGAAACATATTACTTCCGCATAAAAGTTGACGGTGATTGCTAGATCTCGTTTACAAGTTTTCGTATTAGTGAAGGCTTTGGGCATACAATCTAAAGATCAAGCACCACATGCTATGCCAACACACTGATTATTAACCGTAACATTATGGAATACGCCCCAGGAGCGTATGTATGTGCTCCAGGTGTTTGATGCTATAATGAAATGCATCAGTCTTTGACATTATACAGCTAAGAAAGTACAGATTTTTTTTTTAGACTTTACTGTTAAACTATTATTTGTAAAAATGAGACCACGATATTTTAAAACCATTTTCTTTAACTGGTATCATATCACTGGTATTATATTATTGTTGTTATTATTGTTCATATTACTATTCTTAGTATATGTTATTTAATTTGTTTTATTATTTTTTGCTATATAATTGTCTACTATTATATTTATTTTTATTTTGTTATTGTTTATTAATAGTGTATTATTTTTTACTTTTTTTTGTGTTAATTTAATACTATTATTGTTAATAAATTACTACATATTGCATAACATTAAGGAAAGAATATTAATTTTTAAATAATTTGTTAAATGTTGTATATCTGTTTTGGGTATTCATTCCAGAGCCGACTACGAGGATTGGCTGCCAAATTTGTCTGGAATGCTACTACCCATACCAGTTCCAAAGGCGTAAGTTGATGAATCATAGCTCTGTGTTCTTTTTACATGCTGTTACTATCCCATTTACCAGCAAACCCTTTAAAAGGGCATTCAGGCAGGTTGGTGAACCAGGTTTTGCCAGAATCTTATCTCAATAATCCAATTAAACATCAAATGAAGAATACCTCTACTTAAGAGTCATTATCACAGCAGGCATTGTTGTTTCTCAATAAATTACCAGTATAGTATTTAAAAACCAGTGCTGGACAAATTAAAAAATCTGTTGTTCAAAAAAACTTGGCATTTTTATTACCTTAGCTAAAATTTCAGATAAAAATCATAATAGATATGCTTTTGAATTTTAAAAATCAATGACTTATGTTAGAAGTTACAACATGGTTTTTGATTTAATTGTGCTAGTCTTCTTATGAACTATTCACAACTAATGAGCTTCACTGTTAATCTTGTTACAAAATTGCCTGAAGCAGTAATTAATAGAGATAAGAAGAGATCAGCAAAACCTGGTTCAAAAATTGAAAATTTGGTAAATGGTGTGTCATATACAATTTTAATATTGATGTAACCATTTTCATTCATGCCGTGTACATTGTGTTTTTACTTTAAATTTGTACGGAACAATTTGAGGCATTTACAATAATGTACAATTGGCAATAAATTATTTATTCATCATTATTTTTTTTTGTATTGTTTGTTTTTAAATACCCAATAGCATATAAAATACTAATACAGGATAATAAAGTGGAATTTTTTTTTTTTAAGGATTGAGTTTGTGAAAAGGGTACACTAAGTTGTTATTATTATCATTACTGGTCGTAGTTTGTTGTTATCATTGTTGATTATTATTTTTAAATATGTTGCTAATGACTGTTAAATACTGAAAGACGTATAATTCAAAATGTTAACATCATACAGAAATTACTGTTTTATATATATAAATGAAAATATACGCAAGTAACAAATATAAAAAGCTATGAATTGCGAAAAACTTTATGCCGGCCACTATTTTGTTGATAACATATTAAGTAGTTTTTAACGACAGCATTTATATCTTCATAATCATTGTTCTTTGCTCAGTGCTTTTTTCATAATCAATTTTCACAATAATAATTAAGTTCAAAATTTGTTTAATTTATTTGAATAGCATTAAAATATTATATACATGGGATCAAACACAACTATAAATCCGGTTTTAAAATCTAACTGATCGTTTGTTTTTCAATAATAATCATTCAGCAATATGCTTATTTTAATAATGGCATCATAAAAACCATTCATCCGTAACAATGCATTTTGATGTTTCTACTGTCTAAATGTGAACGGTGAGCAGGTAATAGGTTACACTACAGATTGTATCTAAGGTCTGGTTGATAATCTCTAATATTGGCAGCCATCATAAAAATATGAATGAGGAAACCTATTGTTAATTTAATGTAGATGAAAATACGCCTGCATTAATTTTTAAAATTCTCAAGATCACTTTTTGAATAATTTTAAAGAATATTTCAGGTTATTTTGAGCATTTCAAAATTTTCTCGTTGTGGCAAACTATCGGATCCTGCATCACCTGAAATTTGTTGGTGACGAATTGAAATCTAGTTGTTATTATTATTGTTCATATACTATTCTTAGTATACGTTATTTTATTTGTTTTTATTATTATTTTTGCTATAAGTGTCTAACTGTTATTATAGTATTTACTCCCAGTACAATATTTTACTCCCATACGAAATGTGCTTTTTCCTTGTGATGGGGGTGGGTCCTGGCCCCTGACTGGCACCACTCATGCTCTTGTGCATGCAACACAACTCATCCAAAGATGAGACTACTAGGGAAGGTTCTTAATGTGTCGCATTACGCATTGTGTCGCACGGAACAATCCATTTGCACAGTGCACCACAACAGTCATGATGCAAAAAACTTTCCCATGGCCTGCTCTGCAGTGTACATGCTTAGAAAAGGATCAAAAGAGTCAGTGGTTGTCCAGAATATTTTTTTGTTGCGTGACTGTTTTTGGAAATAGGATGTTACTCAATGCTGAGTGGTAAGTCGTTATGTCACAGAGTCACGTTGTGTTCGTTGTAGATACCATGAAGATAAAGAACATAATAGGAAGTTCATTTTTTTCTTCTGCTCTCATGTGCCACTGTATCGCTCCGTGTAAATAGGCTTTTAGCAGCTCAGTGAAGGGTGCATATGTACTGTAGATGCAGCCCACGAATTTCACGTCGGCATGCCGACCATTTTGCCGAGCCAGAATTGCTACAGGACGGCAATTTTTTGCCGACCTAGGCCTAGATTTCTTTGCTTCAAAAACTGCTTGGAAAGTTAAAAACACGCTATAGCAGACACTAAATTTCATGTACGTCCTCAAACAAGGAAATTGGTGGTTCATAAAACAGATTTCTTTGTACAATAACTATTTTTAATAGACATGCAGTACGTACAATTTGTATACAATCGTCTTTTCTTTCTTGCCTAGTCACTTCGTAGGCTAGGCCTAGGTAGGAATGACGCTAGCCAGCCAAGGCCTACAACATCGCACAATTGAAGCCACGTGGGCCACGTAGATCGTAATGCTTATCTAAATTTATTATTTGTCTTCATTTTACAGTATTATTATCATGTTTAAAATGTTGTTTATTATCTAAAAACAACAAAATTCAACATATTGTAGGCCTAATCCTACCGTCCGTTTAAACGCAATCACGATCACATCGTGACTTCACTACTGACAAGTATTGTACATGTGTTGAAAATCCCTGATAGATCATTCTGGGCATGGGCAGTTTTGAAGCAGCATGTGATGATACGATCGTAGTTTTTTGCGAAAGTGATATTTCCCATGCCAAAGATAACGATAAAACGAACGCTAAAACGAAAATTTATTCGGCGATTTTCTTTTGTAAAAACATGCATTATACTACACTATTAAATTAATACAAGTACTACCTTTTTTTTCACCAGCAATATATTAATTTAATGGAGAAATTAACAAAATCACAATCTGTAGATGACGATGTAGGGTCGAGCGTTCGGAAAAATCGTAGTTTATACTATATAGGCCTAGGTAGTAAAAAATTGCCGAGATTGCCGACCTCGGAGAATTTAAGGTCGGCAAATTTTTGCCGACCTAATTTTTTCCTAATTTCATGGGCTGGTAGATGTGAATGCTGCTACAGATGCTCCCTCACAACATCCTAGGATAGGAAATTCATTTTTTAAAAAACTTGTTTTCAGGTGATAGTTGGGTAATATTGATAACAATTAATTAGTACCAAAGGTTCATGAAATGAACTTTTCATATTTCACAACACCTGCTTTGCGATAATTAATTGCAGACATCTAGGTTGTCTTTATAAGTGGATAAAAGTGTACAGCTGGTGTTTGTGTTAGATACTACTGTGGAATTATACATAATTTTGTTATTGCCTCATATTCTTTGTTTTCTTAATATCTGTATCGTTAAAAGGTGTTGTATCAAAAATATTTGTTGTGTTATATGTCACAAATATAACTCTCCTCCATACTAGATTTGATACCATGTTATATTAATGCATGTTGATTATAGGACTTTTTGTATTGTATCACCTTCAATTTATCGTATGTATCAACCATTCTTGGGCTCGGAGCCAGTTGGATTTTAAAGGGTGCTTTGCTGGTCAAGGCACTCTACAGAAATGCAACCACAGACCACTAAATATATAGCATTTGCACATTTATAGTATTCTCTTGGTGTTCCTTTTTTGCCTTTAGCTATAAAGCGTCCACTAACATCCAACCAGCTTAATCCCGGAAGAGTGGTTATTAGTGAATCTATTTGACCGCACGTACCTCAATTAACAACGTGCACTTGAAATTCTACCTGCTTTACCCTATATTATTATTACTCAGCTTTCTATGTCCAGTTCACAACAAACCCGAACACAGTGGACTTGTATTAAAAGACATAATATAAAACCCCAAAATTTTGTGACATATCTTGCCCGCATTCATGATTATACCTGTCTGCTTGGCAAAGGTCTGTCTGCCAAAAATAGGCAAGCAGGAATAAAGAGGGCGCACTTGCGTATAGAAAATTTATGCTGATATGGATTGCTTGACATGGTTTCCATTCAACTCCATTGTCAACTTGTGCAGGTCTTAATTGCTTTTTTTTTTTGTCATTTGCAGATCACTTAGCGACCCACGATTAACCAAGTGAGTAACAAGTTGTCATCTTAATTTTGAAAATGGGAAAAGCAAATGTCTATTTGAAAAAGCTTGTGTAAAGTGGAATTACCTGTCAAGTAATGATTATAATAATGTGTTCAGTGCATCAATGTTGCTTAAATTTTCTTTCCACTCCCAGTTTGTATATGCTTTTTTAATGTTTTGCTTTTCTCACAAAATAGTGCTTAATTATTTTTTTTTATTGATAGAAATATTGAGTACATTATGAGAAAGTTTGTGCAGGACACAAGATGTGAGGTAATTAACAAACTTCTGTTTATGACTGTTTTATTCACCTATACAAAACCAGGATTTGTGTATAAGAGTGCACAGTAGCCATCTCTAAAAACAATCAGAGTCCTAAACTTTGTTATTTAAACAAAACAAAACATAAAATGTTTTGACCAAATCCATTTAGTTCTTCAGTGACGAGGCTTTTGTCCTCTCTGGCAATAAGTCCATATGCCAGCATAAGATACTTAATTGTAATTTATTAAAATATTATGTATATCTTTTTAAAAGCTGGTTTATCATGGATAAATTTTGTGTATATTTTTTTAATCAGTTGTTTAACCAGACAAGCCGTTTGCTATCATCCCATAAATATGCATTATATACAAATGAGGATTTTAAAATAATTTACAAACACCACAAACTCTGTCCAGATTTTCAGTTTTCTGTGACAAAACTGTTGTATGCCCATATATAGTCATGATGTTCCTATATATGGTCATTATGTAATGTCATCATGACCATATTTAAGTGTCACATGTTTTTTGTTTGATAGTCAGGGCTTAACTGTGAGAATTTTATTTTTTAATTACACAGGTTCACACTGCTGTGTGTGCAGTTCGTGATGGTAAGCCAGGCTGGCTTGACCTTTACTGTCCTGGTGGACTGGCCTGCACTGATGATGGTCAGTTGTTTACAGAAATGGTGAGTTAATGACTGAATCAAGCTGAGTTAATTTATCTTCTTCAGCGATGTCAGTGCATGTGGAAGCGGCGGACTATGAACTGCTTCACAGCCAGTTGAGTGCTTATAGGATGTACATAAACATTAAAGCTTAGACTTGCCACAAGTCTCTTATTCTTTATTATTTTTCTCATTCTGGACAGTGCCACCAACGAGAAAGTTAACTTAGAGACGGAATAAGCGACTTGTAAAACACTGAAATCAGGCACTCGCGTCGACTAGTTAGGCATGACTAAATTTACCTAATAAAACAGGCCTAAAAAATATTTAGAATAGACCCTAGTAAGACTAATTTTGGCAATGGCAAAAACAATTAAGCTTAAACTAGATGGCATACCATACAAATACAACAAAACTCTAACTTTCCAATTACTAGTAGGCCTAGCCTAGACCAGTAGAGGCTTGGCGTATTTTAAGTTCTTACTTACAGAGGCCTACTTTTTTAACAATATTCTACCCTAAAGGCCTAAATCTGTGTAGCAGCTAGCGGTGAGCAAGGTTCCTAAGTATAGCCTACGGTTATCAGTCCATGTCGTTCAATTCTCAGCAGGCCAGAACTATATACTAACTGTTTTAATTCAAGTATAGGTAGCCAAAAGCGAGCTGGTTAGCTTGTTCCAGTCGAGACATCCGCATCTTCAATTTTGAAAATTTACCAAGATTGATTAATATGCATGAAGTTAGCCAATCACGTGATTTACAAAATCAGTCATGCATACGATATCCCACATCAAATTTGATGTGGGAAATCGTACGCATGAATTGTTTGCCCAGGCCCTAATTCGAAAAAAAAGAAATCGAGTATGGGACGCCAATTAAATTAGATATGGCGCGCACTAAGTGCAATAAAGAGTGAGTAACCTAAAATTAGGGCCTGGAACCCAAGCTAATTAAAGCTAGACACTCACTGCATTGTATGACAATCATATGACCATAAGCAGATGATTCCAACTCTGCTGTCTGAGCACTGGACGACCCAATGCCGTCAAATTTTATCTCTATAAAATATCATCTGGTTTTATAAAAAGTTATGGTAGAATGTAAATCTTCATAAGGAAAAAAGAAGTAGAGTTACTTTACTACAGTTTTGCTACGTAGATTTCAGAATCCTTGACACGGTCCGAATTTTGGTTTGGATCCAATGTGAGTGCAGCTTAAGTCTTCCTGAGTGCATGCTATAATATCTATGATTATACTCATAAGCAGATTCAATGGGGGTGGGGGCTCGTCTAGCCTAGGTACCCTCCCCGGGGCCCTCCAAATTAATAAAAAAGTAGGAAGTAAATTACATTCAATTTATTGGTCTAAGAGTGCCTTTTCTGTCCATCTCGAAGTGCCCTAAGGACCGTTTGAGTATAAAACAATATCTGTGCGATTTACAAGTTAATTTACCAGAGGCACTTTCTAAACCGCTCAGACACTAGCCTAATTACCTTACCTGGATTATCTGCGACAATTTTGACCACCAAATTGCTGGGTAGAATACCGTGTATGGAATGACCATGGAGCTGGAAGCGATGATAAATCAGCCTTAATTGTTTTTCCAAAATGTTTTGTCCACAGTTCAGCTTGCGAAATTCAATAGCGTTACAGCCTAGGTCTGGTTTCAGCTCTTCTTCGCCTCCTCACATGCACAATGAAATCGAATTTAGTAGCAAAGCTACGCTTTCGATTTGCAGATTTACCATTATCTAGAGAAGTAATCTTGAATAAACTAGCCTAGGTATAGATTTTAAAGCAGCGTTTATAAGTTGTTGAGCTCAAATATCGTTCGGTGTGCCACGCTGTGTGACCATGGGATAAGTTTAAATTTACTTCCAGAGTAGTTTTGTTACACAGTATTTAACGTGAGCTTAAACTTGCTGTAACAGTCGACCACCAGCTGAGTGCTCAGTGCGATTAACTGGGGAAATAAACGGAATACGGTTGATATTTTTCGCTCGAATTGGCCCATAGACAAAAAATTTCGTACTTCAAATGTTCAGACCTAAATATATTATATGGCTGAATTGGTCTAGACCCCTCATCTATAAAATTGACTTTTTCTCTTACAAATTCCTGGATCTGACATTGATACTGACCACATAATAATAATAATAAAAATAATAATAATAATAATAATAATAATAATAATAATAATATTTATTTGGCGTTCAAGAAAAATACAATTTGTCACAAAGTAGAATAGGCAATTAGCCTGAACAAAACAATTTTGCACTCTTTCCTCTTAATTAACACTACAAAAATACAAAATGAAATTCAGTAAGATAACATTATGGTCAGAGTCTTAGTATTTTAAAACCTTTAAAATACTAAGTATGACTTGACCAAGTTAAAGCAATCCTTCATCATGGTCAAAATTAATAGAATGCAAATGTGGCTTAAGCCATTTTGCCACAAAATGCCTCATGTTTAAATACAAATAATTCAAGCTCATACATGCCACCAAACCAAAAATATACAGGAATTTTTCATTTTAACTTAATTGAGTACAAATAGTAAAAGCAGGTGGCTATTTCAATGCATTCACAAATGATTTTGAATTTAAAAGCAAAGGTCATAAATAGTTGCAGATATTTGCATAAAACAGTTCATAAAATTGAAATACATAAATTGAACATAAATAACAGTTCTCCACAGATAATAAATTCTTGAATTGTGTATCCGAAGGCACTCATCAACCACTCAAGGTAACCGGAGTATTGCTAGGTTGCAGTATAAGCAATTAACATGGTGGTTACACATGGTGCAGAATGGTTGCAAATTACTAATTGAATACACATAAGAGGTCATGTTCTGCCTTCGCTCTCTCTCAAACAGATGATGAATAGTTAATGATATTCTGTTGGAACTATGATGATTACGGCTGATTTAAGTGAGCTTCCGCTAATCTTATTTTTAAGGTCCAAGGTGTCCCAATAATTATTTTTAGTCGAAGATACATGTTTACATCATTTCACAATGACAGGGGCTGAAATGAACCATAACATCAGGGTAACCCCCTACTCTTCCGAAAGATGCAATGGGTTCTTTAAAGTACACACAAGCCAGATGTATACACTGGACCTCCATTTTAAGTCCTTATCCAAGAAGACTTGGTTCTACGAACCGAACCATGGGTGAGGAGCGGCTGGAACCAGCGCCGATGTTAGTGCTGTAGCTAGCGGCGCCCTGCCTTACCGCTTGCCACTCGACTCGCCTATATATATATATATATATATATATATATACTGGTAACTATGTGTGGGCTGTGCACCCACATTATTTTTACTCAAATACCCATCAGCTGTTTTGTTTGTCTTATAGCTTTTTCCACACACAAAGTATACAGATTATTTTATAATACATTATAAGAATACAAATCAGTAGTAAAATATAGATGCAATAATAAAAAAGGTATGTGAATGGCACCAAAGTAAGTTTGAAGACAAACTTTAAGTTATAGCCGCCAATAACTGCTAACTTCATTTTTGTGAAGATGGCAAGTCAAATGACCGGACGGTTGAGATGGGCACCGTAACCTACATCTATAATATCGGCGAGGTGGATCGAGTCTTCTCGGATAAGGACTATAAACCGTAGTCCCAATGTATACAATTGACTCATGTGCACTCTAAAGAACCCACTACATCTTTCGAGATCAGTAAGGGGTTACTCCGGTGTACTGGTCCATATAGTTCCTGTTGTGAACAGATGAGATTAGGTGGTACCAGTTTAGTGGCCAGCTCATAAAAACCAAGGGAACCGTTATGGAGAAGAAAGATACTGAAAAGCGTAACAATATTCCACACTTTGAACACTCTGATCTTCATGTTATGTATGTGTGTAAAGATTTTCATGTTGAAAAGATCAGGGAAGAGGTGTAACTAGTAAGCATTTGGTACGGTATGAATGCAAGTCCGGATGGACATCAATAGATGCACACATTATGTTTTAGCGGAGATGTAGTTTTACTATAACTTATAATAGGTAAGGTATGGTATGTAAATAGGGTAGGAAGACACAAAAATCCAATAGTCCTAGCACCCATGACATGGCCAGACATCACTTTTCAAATGAGATGGCTAAATAAAATAACATAATAATGTAATTCTAAATTACAACATTCAGAATGATATTGTGAAAATGAGTTGATGATCAAAAAATTCATCTTTTCATTTTTCAGCTGGAGAGGTTAATAGCCTGCTGTTGCAGACGCAAGCGCTTTCTACAGTCTGTCAATTCTAGGATATACGAGCCGTGTCTACGTCAAGCATCAAACAAGAATCTGACTTGTTTACAGGTAAAATGCGCTATGTAATATGCAGTAAGCTATGACATTAATGAGTAATTTTGCTAAGTGGATTTCCTTTAGTAGAACGCAGTATATATACATAAACGACTACGTTTAGTTGCCCGACAGAATGTTTGTCGTGGGCCTCAACTTTAATGATGTTCACAGCATTAATTTATCAAATGTTAATGCGCACTGTGACCTGGTTTGTTAGGTCACATCCATCATACAGTAGGTGGTCCATTAATCATTTTAAACATCAGAAATCAAGACACATTATTCATGCTATTTGTAGTGCGATTTTAGTTTAAGTCAATGATTTAAACAAAATTAGTGTAGAATTTTGGGATTACTAGAATGACAGCTTCTTTCAGTGTTGCAAGTATCGTAGTGAGGACACTACATTTATGTTGGTTGATTAAATATTGACTAATTTATTCAGTTTAAAAGAAGATTTATAATTTCACATTACCGTTAAACAAACAATAAGATACAATAAAAAATTAAATACCTATCAAATGGACCACTGTAGGATAATTAGAGATTTTTTCAAAATTATAGTTGATGTTACTTCCATTTCAAAGGCCTCTTGAACATTTAACAAAAACATTAACATACTCGTACATACATACTGTACTCCAAGAAACAATCAAATGTTGAATAAATTACACCTTTCAAGGCGCATAACTAAAGTAAAATACCCATTAGGTCACACAAAACTCAACACACACTTCAGGTCTTATAACTCAACTGAAAAGCTATTAGGACTTAATAACTCAAGTTAACCCTTTAGGTCATATAACTCATCTAAACATCCATTAGGACTTAAGTCACACTATAAATTAAATGCTCTTCAATGCAAAAAAAAAAAACAATCTTTGTTGTGCTTTTCATACACAGTACCCAAGGTTTTTGTATAAAAGTATGTTTTGATGCACTTACCAACTGATTTTAATAAGGAGAAAATAAATTTCATAACAAATGTTGACCCTGGTCTAGTTTACAAAATGATTGTAATTTATCCAATGAGGTTAAAATTTCACAGACTATTAAATTATTCAAATCATACTTATGAGATTCTGTAGTTTAATATAATCACCATTTGGAAAACTACCTATTCCATATTTATTCATGAATAACAATCTATGCACATATGAAGGAAATGAAGATGAGAATCTCTTTAAAAAAAAACTGTTGATTATGATAAAAATTTTAATATTGGTTTGTTAAAACTTACTATCCTTACTATTTAATTTGTTAATTTCCGTATTAGGTTTGTGTATCAATAAATTTCCCTTGAACCTTAAACCTTGTAATCATTTTTTCTATTCAAAATTGAAGATTATTTTATTGTCTAAAAAATGGAAATTCTGTCTGGGTGTACCATTTCAATATATACAGATACAAAAACATATACTGTACAAACATAAAAAATATAACAAGAAAAGCAAAAAAAAAAGTAACCAATATAAATGTCGAAATAAGATATGGTTCATGTATATACAGTAAATAATTACAGTTAAAAAAGACAAGTGATAAACATTCATTTAAGTTGTAATATCTTATTGCAAGAGGTATGAATGAGTTGAGAAATCTTTAGGGTTGAAACAACATAAAGTTATTAAGGAAAGGTAATGGAGTGGAGTTAAAAAGCTTGGTGGTTGAGATGCTTGCCCTCCAATCCCAGGGTCCTGGGTTCAATTCCTGGCATGGCAATAGAATTTTTTGGTCTGATGACCAAAAACATCTCAACACCCTTCGTTTTAAGGCTATATAGAATACTATATAGAGCATCTTGAAGTGAGATAAAATCATGATTTTTCCATTTTTATTAGTATTTGTGCTTGCTACTGGAATTTGATGCTCTATCAACACCTGAGTTAAAACAAAAGACAATTGCAGCTCTGCAGGAATTTGATGAAGGGCGGAACATGTATGCAGAGCTGTGTGAGAAACAATCAGAGTTATTGCAACTGGTATGTGAAAATTGAGTCATGAGTCACATTCAATTAATTTTTTGATGAATGTTAAATCTACCTTGGTGAAACCATCCCACCCTTGGCACTTGGATTTCAGTATGCACTAGTTTTTGCGCCATGTTACATTGGATTACTTTTGACCAATTTTTCGAACATGGATTTCAGTATGCATCAGGTTTATATAATAATAAGATTATGAGCTTGCATGGTCAGTGTATTCTTAAACACATTTTGTAAAAATCACACTGATGTTCATGGTTTTAGCATGTACTAAAAAATATTTAACCGAATCAAGCTGTGCACATTGGGCTCAACCTGCTGCTCGGGGGAAAAGGGCTTGGTTATTTATTTTTTTAGAGCAACATTTACTTTTGAACAAAGAGAATGTGTTCACACTGGATTAAAAAAAAAATCATAGTACATAGTTGGTTTGTTAAAATAGAAAATTTCTCATACCAGGTACATGGTTGGCTTGACCAAATTTAATTCAATGCTAACATAGCTCTAGTGAAATTGCTTCTGATTTGATTTATAATTAACCACAATACCCCATTGGGTTATTTGGTAAAGATATCACTCTGTTGCGGTCATCAAAACAGCAATGAATTTCTGAATTTTTTCTCTATTCTCTTGTGTCATCATTTGTTGCCATTGTCCTCTGAGCGGACACATTGATGACAGTAACAGATGCATGTCAGATATAATGTTGATAAACAGTCAGCTGATGAAGAAACCTAATTGTATGGTGACATGCCAGTTCTAAGTTTGGTGACATAGCACTGCACCTGGTAAAGCCAGTAGACTACTGGAGTAAGCTTGTGTCAATTACTCAATATGTCTTTCCCTAAGCCACGCCCCATGGATATTGCTGGTAAAGTCATACAAAAGTCAGTGTAAAAACATGCACAGACCACTGATCTCCACTATAATAGCTGGTTTGCTCATTGGCTGGTTTTAGTGAGGCCACCGACGCCATATTGGAGGGCCTGAGTGACATATCAGTTTTGACAAGTTTCTTTTGGCATTTGTTTAAATTATTGTTAAAAATAATAAATTAAAATAAAAATAAATTTGAATTTAACGTAATGATTATTTTTCAAATCATCTAACCTTGACATGGCTTTTTGTGCAGTTTTAAAAAGCGCAAGCGAAGTTTTTTGCGTTGTTAGAATCAATGTCACTATAACAACACGACTTCGCTCACGCTTTACTAAACTGCATAAACAGTCCCGTCTAGTGGTTACATGGTTTGAAGAAAAATCCCTACGTTGAATTTAAATTTGTTATTGAAAAGTATATATTGCAAAAATCATTATTTTTAACTATATAATTTAAATAAATGCCAAAAGAAACTTGTCTAAACTGGTATGTCACTTAGGCCCTCCAACAATGTGTCGGAGGCCTCACTTTTTTCTGTACAAGGATTGGCCAATGAGCAATCCAGCTATTATAGTAGAGATCAGTGGCATATGTGTTTGTGGGATACACATGTGCTTCGAAGACATGCACATATTCCTGGCCCTGTTCTGATTGGTCAGTTGTTAAGTGTGATTGACACTCCGAAACGATCACAACCTTGTTTTTTTTTTTAGACTTTTAGACCACTGTGGTACCTCTCCAAATCTGTGTTTCACCAATCTTAAATTGGATATATTTGGACCTACATGAATCATCAATAATTTACACTGTATCCATCTTCTACCATATCCAACGTATCTATTAATCTTAGTCAAACCATTTTTGTGTTTTTTAGCGAGAACCGGGTGGACCGCATTCACTGGTGCTGCCATCAAAGTCTACGGATGCAGATCTGAAGCGAATGTTTAGTGAAGGTCCACTTGGTGACTTAGAGACATTGAATCTGGCGTTCACACATATTACCAGTGCATGCGCACAAACTCTTGTCAAGCTGCCAAATCTTAAGCATCTAAACCTCTGGTCAACTCAGGTAAAATTAATTTACTCATATTAAAGCATTTTGTATGCCCTATTTGGGCATCCGATGTGTGACAGCAGGAGTGTTGTGTGCTGTGAGCATCTTATGTGGTAGCATGGAGTGAGTGTCTTATTTGGAAGCATGTTGTATGCTTGAAGTAGTGTCTGATGTGGATTGTATGCTTATAGTGAGTGTCATGTTAAAGCATGTTGAGCTTGGAATGAGTGAGTGATGTGGAAGTGTGTCATATGCTTGCAGTGGTGTCTGATGTGGAAGCAAGTTGAAGCAAGATACTTGCAGTATCTGATGTAGAGGTGTATTGTATGCTTGCAGTGGTGTCTGATGTGGAAGCATGTTTTATGATTGCAGTATTTGATGTGGAAGTGTGTTGTATGCTTGGAGTGAGTGTCTGATGTGGAAGCATGTTGTATGATTGCAGTATCTGATGTGGAAATGTATTGCATGCTTGCAGTGGTGTCTGATGTGGAAGCATGTTGTATGCTTGCAGTGAGTATGCTTGTAGTGGTGTCTGATGTGGAAACATTTTGTATGCTTGCAGTGATTATTTGATGTAGAGGTGTATTGTGTGCTTGCAGTGGTGTCTGATGTGGAAGCATGTTGTATGCTTGCAGTGAGTATTTGATGTAGAGGTGTATTGTGTGCTTGCAGTGGTGTCTGATGTGGAAATATTTTGTATGCTTGCATTGAGAATCTAATGTGGAGTGTTTTATGCTGGACTAGTATCCGATTTGGAAAAATTTCATTTCATTACATTATATATTGGTCAAACACAAAATGGTGAGACCAGGGCCAACTAAAGTGAACTTAATCATTTTAGCACTGCTGGTTGGTCCATCCCCAATAACAGATACAAAATAAAAAATACAAAAATAGAAATATTACAAAAAACAAAGAATCCAAATGAAGATGAACCTTTTGAAGAGAAGAAGATGGGCTCTCTAGGACTGCAGCATCAACTATTGGTCTGGGAAGCTTGTCCCAAACTCGATGCAGCCGAATGGCAGCTGAGTTGTAAAACGCTTGAGTCCTAGATATCTGACTGATAACAATGAAAAAGACAATGATTTTAATCTCTTCTCTCATCAGAGCAAGTCTACTTGCTCCTCTATGGACCCCTTTAAACTGATCAAGCAAGAGTTTTGGTCCATGGAAACCAAGCAGGTTGTATGCATAGAGTAAGTGTCAGATGAGGAAGCTTGTTGTGGGCTTGGAGTGAGTGTCTGATGTAGAAGCGTCTTGTATTGTATATTTATTGTGTATTATGCAAGAAGTTATGTTTGCAAATGGGAAAATTCAAGGGTATATATACTATCATACTGTAGCTCAGGTGGCAGAGCATCCAAACGGTACTCTGAGGGTTTTGCATTCGAGTTATGGTGTGGACAAGGTTTTTTAGATTGAAATTTAATACCTTTATATACAATATACACATTTTTTGCAGGTGTCTTAAATATCTCCTTAATATTTCAGTTTGGTGACTCCGGGCTTGAAACAATCACAGAACATCTTCATCACTTAGAAAGTTTAAATTTGTGTGAAACGCAAGTGACGGATGCAGGACTCCGTTGCCTCACAGATTTGAAGCAGCTGAAACGATTGGATCTTAATAGTACACCACTGACAGCTAAAACACTGCAGATTCTCACAGTAAGATGGGTTGTTTATTTATGGTTCTGCAATGCATGGTTTGGAGATATTTACTACAATGTTGCATGTTCAATGTTGTCATGTCACATGTTTTTCGGAGTCGGTAGTATTAATAGTAAAATAGACAGTTTCACTGGATTTTTGTTGTACTACATTAATTAAAAGAACAGTATAGTACGATACAGTACATCCTGCTTCAAAACTTCGCAAAATTGAGTGTACATTATTAAAAGTATATTCTTAAAAATATAGTAGCATAGTTTTTTTTTTATATAATAAGAATTTGAAGTTGGTTGATACAGTACTGTATATTTCAAATATTGAATGACTATACCAGAGTATTTTTGTTATTATTTCTATTGTCATTGTAATCATCATCACTACTACTATTACAATTACTATTACTAATACTAGTATAAATATTATCGTCATCAACCTCATATTTATAGTAGTCCACCATCCATCACCATGAAATTAAACCACATTGACCATTTTTTTTAACAAAGATTTTTACTATTAACATCATCATCACAAAGGTTATTATCACCATCATAACAATTTATATTACCATCAAGTAATCAACATTATTATCCTCAATAACATCATAATGCTAAGTCAATAAATGCCGGTTTTCTCTGAAGAAAGTTTTCTGTATAAAAACACATTGATAATTGCATATAAAAACAAAGTAAATACTGAACATGTTTTTTGTTGTTGTTGTTGTTGTTGTTGTTGTATACCATTTTATTCAAAAAACAAATACAAGATGACCAAAAATGATATGATGAGATATTATTATGCTGAGTTAACAATAATATGCACACATGTAGGTCAAATCTACCATATTTTAAGTTATATTCGGTAGTTAAATTGATTAATGCAGTGATTAGCATTTATCACATAAGCATTGTTGATTTCAATACTGTTAGTACAATATAGCCAAGCATTTTGCACATAAACATGTAATAAAGTATTTGATAATGTAATTTGACAAAATTCATCAGACTACAAACTGCTCCATGATAAAAATAAGGTGGAACATTCGGTTTGTTAGTTCCCATACACAAGAGTTTCTTGAAAGGCATTATCATTATTATTAAATCTGAATCAAATTAGCCCAATTCAAAACACTAAAGCCTTCCATTTCTTCAATTTATTTATAATAGTGGTGTAATTCTTAAAATAGTAGGACATACAGGAAAACTCCTGTCACAATAGTGCAACCCATTTTTGTTGGGTTTTGTCCTCAAATATTTTTATACTCTAGATGCATGTATGTTTTATCACTGTATGAACTTCATTATGTAAGCATTTCATATGTAGTCTGTAGTTTGTTTGTGTTGCTCATGTTGTGTTTTCTGTTTGTTTGGTATTACAGAATTTACTCCCAAATCTTCAGTGGGTAGGGACCAGATACACAGAAGTGAATTAAAAAGCCAGTCAAGTTTTTAACAAGATTTGTATCGCTTTTTGTTTGGCATTACAGAGCTCACTGCCTGAACTTGTGTGGCTGGATGTGCGTTACACAGAAGCATATGCTGAAATGTGGAAACAATGAGGGGAAAGGAAGGGGGAAAAACAACTGACACCTGATTTATATTGAACTAGCAGACAGTACCACCTGCTACAATACTAGTGGCCATTACCGCCTTCTTAATATTGAAAAGGTGGACATTACTGCCCTCTTTATATAGTACTGGTTGGTATGACGACCTGCATAGTACTGACTCTACCACATTGCTTTACATAGAAATAGTGGACATAATTATCACCTGTTTATATAACACTTTTGGGTGCTTTATAATGGTGGACATTACAACCTGCTATATAATGATGTATATAATTACCACCTGTCTTATATAAAGATGGTGGACATTACCACCTGCTTTATATAAAAATGGTGGACATTACCACCAATGTATAATGGTGAACATTACTACCTGCTTCATATAAAATGGTGGACATTACCACCTGTTTTCTTTATATAAAATTGTGGATATTAGCACTTGTTTTCTTTATATGAAATGGTGGACATTGACACCTGGAAATCTGTACCACCTGCCTAATATCATTGTGCAAATATTAACATTTGGAAAGCAATTATTTTTTTATGAACAAAGAATTGTTATTTTTACTGATAGTTCAAAGTGCCTGTTGATTTTAAACATTTTGTTTTATGTTTTGTAGTCACTGGACATTGTCATTTTGGAATCATTGTCCATACAGTTTTTACAGCACAATTATTATCACTGTAATATTAAAGTACTGTTTTCCTTTTCTATATCGACAGTCTCTCTTTGAATGAGGGATCAGGAATTTTACATGTGCTAACGGTGTTCGAATTTGATTCAATTTCATTTTCAAAGAATGTTAATTATGATATTACTTGCTGCATGTTCTGAAGAGGAAAATGGAAGATAGAGTGTTTTTGATATTCATTGATATTTGAGGTTGAATATTCACAAGGTCTTGTGAACTTTGCTAAATACAGCATCACCAGCAACCTCAGCAATTGGGTGATTCCTCACTAATGTAAGAGGTGCACTAGCTTTACCTACCTTTAATATCTGTCAAGTTGTTGTAAAGTACCAACAATTTGTACAAAAAGTTTAAAACATTTCCGCGTTTTTGTGTTTGTAAATTTGAAATTTTCTATATAACCATCCATATGTATGTAATCTTAAATTGATTGCGATGTTTTGTTTACTTTTAAATGTAAATGTACAAGAACGTTATTGTAATAGTTAGTATTGCATAAGAGATATATCATATTGGAATGCTGATTTATTTAAAAGATAAGGAATCTTATTGAAATCAGAAGCACATATCTCACCAGCACTTTTTATATACTGGCATCACAATGTTTTATGTACAAGCTAAGATTTACTTTTAGCTGAACATTCTGCCAACTTCTACAGATATCTATAGTTATAGATTTATGTTATGCAAGTTCACTGAATGTTCTACATTCACATGTTTAGCTTCTCTGTATAATGATCGTGGATAAATTGATTTAATAGAAGGCTTAATATCTCGAGAACTTCAATTTTAAGTGGATTATCTGGTCAATTTCTAATGATCCATTTTCTGATTAGAATTAAATCTTTCACAGCTATATTGTCCTCGGAAGTAGAGTAATGTAATTAATTAATATGAGTTGAGTAACTAGAATATTTTGGAGACCCATCAGCTGCAGTGCATTGTGACACTGTGAAGTTAATTGACCACTACCAGGTGGTTCAAAATTGGTAGAAGCTACTTCAGAGAGATCTGGTTATTGAATTTCATAATGGATCTTATATTTTGGTGGATGTGATTCACTATCCACGGTCAGCTAGATACATGGAAACAATCTTACAGTAATTAAAAAAGCAAACATTCTGAATTTACTAGAGAGCTAGATTGGTTTCCAGAAGATTTTTGCATGCTTATGAGAGTGCAGTAGACCATGCTAATTGCTAATTTCTGGGGAATTTGCAACTAATATTAGACTCTAGGGACCCCTGTAGTGCATTTGTAGACAATCCCTTGCTCATTTTTAAAACATTGTATAGTAGCGTAACATCGAGGCCTTGCTCTCCTTGTTAAGGTCTCTTTGGTCTCTACTACCCTGGGGACTGGGACCGGGTAGAGAGGTGTGTGGGGCAAACCTTCCACGTTATTGAATGTTTAATAATGTGTATTGATTATTTTACTCTTTCTCCTCCTTAAAGACAACGCTCAGCTGATTTAGGGCAAAATGGAAAGTGCTTATAAATATCCTTTGACCCATTTTCATTTCATTTCATTTATTTTCCGTATACAATATAAAAAATAAAGCAGTCGGAAAAGCAATTAATACACATACAAAATGTTGGTCTTTGATTCTCCACATGGGCCGGAGAGCCATAAAATGAAATAAATTGCTCTGTCAGTGTGGCTCTAAATGCGATGTGGGGTTTTAATCAGAAAACAATAAAACACAAGAAAAAGAAGAATAAATATAAATTCAAATTACAATATAGGAAATAGAAAAGGTCTGGTGGCCCTATCTTCTGAGCCAGTAAAGAGCTCATAGCTGTCGCTCCACTGCTAATTTTACTATATGTTGCGCATAAAGTAAACAAGCAAATTTAATTGCAGGGTTTATACATTTTGTATGAGCAGTGATAGTGTTAAATCGAGATGATTTCTGTTTGGACTTTTGAGAATTTAAGTTTTTATTACTATTGCCATCGGATATTGATAGAAAAGAAATGTCTTGTTATTTCATTTATTCTCATTACACATTACTTGCCTTTTCCAACATTTTTCCTTTCTATACCTTTTGTGGTTTGCATGTTTTTAGATTAACCTGTTAAGTTCGAGAGATTTTTTTTATATACTCATGTAAATTACACAGCACATTCAAAGATATGTGTTATAATATAAAAACAAGTTATTCAGTATCTATCAGAATATCAACATCAAGCAGAAGCTTCAGGGCACGTTGGGTGTGTAAATATGTACCAACTAGAGTCAGGGAATGAGCCAGTTAGATTGCAGTCGATTTAAAAAAATTGCTATGGCAATTTTAATGACCAAATGCTCGCCACGATAGATTGCTGGTTGAAATTTAAAGTTTTGAGATTCGCAAATGTAAAGTAACAAATTTTATATTCAGTATGTTCTCATTGTCTTAAAAATGTGGACCTTTTTTAATTTTGGTGTGGTGGGTACTCGCCAGTTGCAACCCTCTGGATACGGGACTAAACTTGTTTAATGACATGTAAACTTTTCAGCTTTTTTAGTGCTTTAAGAAAAAGCATTATCCAACAGCCATACATTTTTTTTGATCAGATACTATTAGATACTGTCAGATATAGTTTGATAAAACAATGCAATGGTTATGGACAAAAACATCTTATATGAGCCATACATGTTGGAGTTATACAGCATTTTAAGTTGTAAACAAATTTCTGACATCAGCCAAGAAACATTCAATTCAGTGTGATTTATTTATTCTTTGGATCATGTTGCATAAAATGCGTCATTTGGGTTATTAATATAAATCTAGATTATATTTTAAATTTACCTCAGTTTTTAGATTTTTATGAAGGTGTGTCCATGTAGGACAAGGAGCAAGCACAGATTATCTGAGCCAGAAAGATATTAGATATTTGAAATAGTGATATGGTCACTATTTGTCAAGGAAGACCTGTAATAAAAATCCCCATTCTTATAAATTCCAATTCAAATATGCGCAGGAGAGTACATACCAGTGGAACCATTAATGGCCTCCAGTTATGATCCTGGGCTAGAATTACTTGTAGGGGTGAAAGGACCGAAGTAGAGGATTTTTTAGGGCTTATGATGTTACAAATTGTGCTTTTAAGGCCATAATTGTAAGGATTCACAAACTAATGTGTAAGTTTGACAGTAAAGAGATTCATACTTGTCCAACGAGATGTAAAGGTTTGTCCTCTTTTACCCCCACTGCTGCCCGTCACTGCTCTCTCATGTTTGTATATTTATTTGTTTTTTGTACCGTGTTAATATAATGCGGTATATTCTGTAAATAATTACGTAGCGGAATTTAAGACATGGCCAATTCATTTTTAGACAGATTGTGCCACTTTATTAAAAGTATTGTACTCAAACTTATCATAATTTATATTTTTTTATTTCTTTATTTTTTGGATTTTTGTTTGTTTTGTTTTGAATTGTGTTGTGTTATGTCAATTTATTATTCTAATCTAAATGATGGGAATTAAATTTTGTTTAATTGTATTTAATCATGTGTTTTCAGTGCTATATGAACAACTTCACAATTCTTGGAAAAATTGCGTATTAATATTTTTTTAAATATTCATAGTTTAACAATTATTTTATTTATAATTATTGCACATAAGTCAACATTATTAATTATTATTAAGTTATGTAATTTGTTGGTGGTTTGCAAAACTGTTTAGATGTAAAAGTGTGTTTTATGTTATTAAAGAATACAAGCAATGGCGTAAATTGTTTCTGTAACATTGTTAAACATCAAAACATTTCAGTCTATGATAATTATGATATTTAATGTGTTGTGTGTTATAGAAATTCTATGTTGTATTTACTTGCAGTACCTGCTCGTTAGATGTTTTCGTCAGTGAATATAATAATGATATGCCTACGTTCACACACACTAGTTGGGTTGACTGAGAACAGTTGAGATCTTATGCATAGCTTGAAATTGTTGGTTGACCTAACTCAGACAGTAAAAATCCTAGAGCATAAACATTGTGCTGCACGATGTGATAGGCACGTTCACATAAGTTATTGTGATAAATTTATTATGATTTATTCAAGCACAACCAATGAGGTTGGGATCTACCAGAAGCACAACCAATGAGGTTGGGACCTGTTTAATAAACTGAAGGCTGATTGGTTGAATTCAATCTCATGAATTAATTTATCACGTTAACCAAGGTTAATCATGATGAATCAACATGCTCCACTAGATCACAATAAGGTGATTAAACTGAGCACGTTATTTGATTCAGGTTGGTTCACATAAAGTGAATGGCTTGATCATGATCCACTAGATCACGTTAAATTCTGAATGCGAACCTAGCTATTGGCTCCAGATTGAGAGTAGAATATAAATTCAAGGTCAACCTTACTGCCTTTCCTGGGTTTAGAGCAATTTCAACCAAGGCACGAGTCAACCCAGGTTGTTTCAGACTACAAATTTCTCACCTCAGCTAGAGTGACAGTTATTTCACGCCTAGATCATAGTCCCAACCCTTTATCGGAAATTATCTGAACTTTCCAAATATTGGAGATAAATATGAAAAAATAGGCCTATATACCGTTACAGAATTACCCTGTTCCATGTCCTGGTGCCAGTTTGTAAGTGTTAAGACATACTTGGTTAAAAAACACTTTCCTGTAGGCAGTACACTTCACAAGCTATTCAACAAAAATAATGTCAAAGTTAGCTATAGCTGTTCTAGAAACATGGGTAACATTATTCAGTCCCACAACAGCAGAAATCTTCGCACCAAACCACAAGAACCATCTAATACACACAACTGCCGAAAGAAAGATGAACGCCCCTTCTCAGGAAACTGCCTCGCATCTTCAATTATCTACAAAGCCACCGTAACCACAAATGATGACGTCGAAGAGTACATTGGACTCAAGACAACACATTCAAAACCAGATTTAAAAATCATAAAAACACACATTTAGCTCTCCGAAGCATAAGAACAGCACCGAATTATCTAAACATGTATGGAAACTTAAAGAAAACAACACCCAATTCAACTTTAAATGGTCCATAATTGACAAAGCTACGTCATAGAGTACACAAACAAAACACTGCAATCTCTGCTTTACAGAGAAATTTCACATGATTTATTCAAACAAACCATCAACTTTAAACAAAAGAACAGAGCTGCTTTCAAAATGCAGACACAGGAACAAGTTTCTACTCAAGAATATGTAACACAATTAGCATATAACCTGCTGAACCTCATATATACCTCCATTATCTTCCTATCCACTCACTCCTGAAGATTGCTGCTGCATGAAACACCTGTAGAGTAAATTCACGCTTGACATACCTTTCTATTATTATTATTATTATTATTATTATTATTGTTATTATTATTATAAATATATATATATATATATATATATATATTATAATATACTATCATATTTTCTTATAACTTGTATAAAAAGTAATAAAGGCTTAAGTGAGATTCAAGAACCTTATTTTTCCATCTAAAATAGGGCGGGATATTTGTTTTTCCTGTGCAGCAATTGGGTAAAAAATATAAAGTGGATACAATTAAATGAAAAATAGTAAAACAAAATCCGAATGAACTTGACAATAGCTAAACAAGTAGACCAATGCACTAATGAAAGTAAATAAATTAAAATTATGTAATATGAAGATATGAAATGAAATAATTATTGTAGACCGGTTTAAAAACAGATCCAGGAATGTGTTGGAGACTGGATAATTAAGATATTTTTAAGAGACTTAAAGCAAGTAAACATTAATTTGAATCAATTAAGAATATATTCATTTATTCATTGAAGTACTTATTTATTCAGTAAAAACAAACGATACTCTACAGTTGAGAATACATAACATTATGCAAATGCCTGTAACGTCT